GTAACCAAGGGGTTGGTGGGGAGAAGTTGAGTGATAGTGTTAAAGCAGCGGTGGTGTGAGAGCACAACAAGAAAAGAGGTAGATAGAGAGCTCTTGTAGAGAGAGAGTGTGGGGGTATGAGAAGAGAAACTCATCAAATATGATAATACGAGATATGATAATTTTGTTTGTAGTGAGATCAAGATACCGATACCACATTGGTTAGGGGGAATCAAGAAAGATGCACCGAGATGAGCGACAGGAAAACTTATGAGAGGTTGTGGTGGAGAGGTTTGGTACTAAAGACATCCAAACACATGGAGGTGGGTGTATGTGAGAGGACTACTCTGTTAGCTTATTCGTGTATAATACGCATATTATACACACACAAACACACGTATAATACACGTATTATATTTCCGAATATGAATTTTTTATATCACAACATATAATACACGTCTTTTTTGACTCCAAAATGTATCTACGAATTTTATACATATTAAATTGTAAAAATCCTCTTCCATCGACTCCAACAATCAAAATTTAGATGATCGAATTATAGATCGAATCAATTTATTTGATTGTCTTCCTCCAAAAATACAAATTTTTAAAATTTGGCAACTCAACAATAGTAAAAGTGTTATAAACCAGATCACAATTCGAGTCATCCACCAACATTCTTTGTTAATTAAATATCATCTATGGTCTACCATTCTGATCCCTTGGACTCCATCCGACTGAGAGTCCAACACATCAACCGCTTTAGAAAATAGTATACAACAATCTATTTACTTGTTCATTTTTAGAATGTAATCAAGTTTTTTTTATTTAGTTCTTGTGGTTAAATATTTATCCACATTTACAAATATAAATTTGATTTCATTTGTGTGATCTGAATTCTAAAAATCTAAGTCTGTAGCTGTATTTTTCATTCTAAAAATGAAAAATATAAAGTTGATTTGATTTTACTCTAATTCAAATTCCATAAAAGATTATTTAGTGAGTTCATATTTATATTACAAAGAGACTTGAATCTTCGTTTAGAATTTGTGATGAGCATTTAAATCTCGTAAAACTTAAATTGTCTAATAATATAATTTTTGTCATATCTCAAATGCTCCATTTGTCTCTAGATTTTCGCTTAATTTTTAATAACATTTTCTTACATTGATTATATTTTGTGAAAGTACACAATAATAGTTAGATTGAAAGATGTATTTTAAATACACATTGAAAAATGAATAAACAATAAGTCATAGTTTTGGTTGAATTTTTAGAATTTTATGGTGTATTTATATTCAATTTCAAAGTTTAAACTTACTTTTTTATTAAAAATATATGCACTCATTATTAGCTATATTTTTGAAAAATCAAACGTATAAAACACAAACATATCCGTATATGTACTCTGAACATATAAAATGTGTAATAAGATGTATTTTAAAAATGTGATCTGTATTATACACGAACGTACCAATAATCGTATTATACCCGTATCTGAGTAACCTAAGAGAAGGGAGGAGTATGATAGATGGCTTCATGGGGGTTTTATTTTGTAAAGTGGTGGTGGGAAGAAGATTGAGAATATGAGTTGTCACATTGATGCCGATCTTCGACCAATAATCATAGGGGAGGTTTGGTTGAAAAAGTAAAGTATGTATGGTGTTATTTATCGTACGGATGGTACACTCAGCCCGACCATTCTGTTGACTGGTGTTTGGGTAGGAAAAACGGAAGAGTATACTCATAGAGAAAAATAAATCAACAAGAGAGGTGTTACCCTAACCCTAACCCGTCCAGGTCTGCAGCCCCTTTCGGACTAAGTATTAACTTGGTATTCCTAAACATTCAAGACGGTACGGGGTACCACTTGACATGAGGTACTATCAGTGGAGAACGATGGTAGCTAGCCTACCGTCCCGGCGGTACCATGGTACCATCTAGACAGTAGCTCGCTACCGCACTGCGCGTAGTTTTGAACAGTGTCATCTTCAATCTCGGGCCTATTTTTGAAAATGCCATTTTTAGTCACCAAACATCAATTAGACTCTATATAAATGTTTTCCAAGGTTCATAGATCATTTTGGTAACATTAGTTCGTAGTTCTAACAACAATTTCAAGGTCTACAATTTTTGGTTCTTCAAACATGTCAAACATAAAACTCAACAAAATAACCATTTATGAACGTAGAAACAATTTATACACACATTCTAATCACTAGATGTATAAGAGCTTACCTCGGGCTTAAACGTAGGTTTTATAAATTTTCCGGTGAAACTTCTGGCGACGATTACTCCAAACTCCGGCGTCTTCTTACCAAATTGACAGCACCACTAGCTGCATTCTTCACACTCAAGGCTAACTAAATTTGAAGGGAAATAGGAGAATGGTCTTCATTATATAGTGAAGGAGAGTAGGAAGAAGCTAATGGACTTTTACGTGATTTTGATCGGCGATCGGCTGAGCGGCTAGTGCGATTCGGATGTCTCTCCCTGATTGAGACTATTTTTGGTCCAACTTTCTTCGAATTGAAATCCGTTTGCATCACTTCGATCGGAAAGTCAAACTTTATCCAACAGTATAAGTTTTATATTGTAATACTTTTTCTGATAGCATATTTTTGGGTGTTTGACTTTGACAGAGTCAAAATTGATTTAATTGACCTTTATTTTAAAAGGTTCATTCATTTAATTCATATTACTTATTCTAATGATTTGTTTAAATAAATTCTTTATATATAAAATTTGAGAGTTGAACTCTCAGAATCGCGACATTTGGCGTGCTGATTGGAACTTTTTTTGACACTTCATCACCCATGTCATCAAAATGGACTTCCTCAATCTTTCAGACGAATTGGCTTCCAGATTGTGACATGTGGCGTGCTTATTCGATATTTTTTTTGACGTGTCAGCATGTCATGTTAGCATGTAATGTTTAAAAAAATCGTTAACAAAAAACTTATTATGCGGAAATTAAATTTTGTATTTGTTACACACAAATTTCTCCGTATAATCGCGTTTAAAAACTTTTACATTTTCATTCATTATTAAAAAATATTTAAATTAAATAGTATATTGTGAAATTTTAAAAAACACCTTATCAGTAACTATAATCAAAACAAATAAATTTACTGTAAGAACAGATAGATTGGTAGAACTAAACGAAAACACATTTGGTTTTTTTTGCTTTGAATTAATACTAATTGGAGAGATTTTCTAATTATTTAAAAAACAGAAATAAATATATAAAAGGAAATGGATTTTTATGGGCATGTTTATTTAATAGACCATTAATTTTATTCCGTATATATAAAAAAATTCTAAATCAAATAACAAGTATGTACCATTTTAAAATTAGTATTTTCCATTTTAAATTTATTGTTTTCCATGTCTAGCTTTGTAAAAATTTACATGTAACAAAAATTATCGTTTTCCATTTATAAATTTGTAAGATGATCAAGACTTGATAAGTGATTATTTATGTGTAAGAAATTAAATATTAATAGGTGTTCCTAATCGAAATATTTATGGTATAATACTAATTGTTATAAATGTAATTACTTTTAAATTTAATTCTTAAAAAATATAAAACGTGCTAACTATTTTGACATCTATGTCAAAATAATATAAATAAGTAATATTCTTTCTTATTTATTCACTGAACCATCGACATCAATGTAACAAATATTAGTGGATAATAAAAAAAATTTATTTAAAGTTTTTAGATAAAAAATTATAATATTTGTTTTATGATGGTTATTACAAATACAGAAGGAGAGGGATCGTCATTAGCTATAAACTCGCATCATCGAACACGTTCGAGAAAGAATGTACTTTGCAAACAGGTTCCAGTACATATTTCCCGAAAACTCATCTATAATATTCCAACCACGAAACAATTATACACACGCTTCATCGCGCTTTCAAGTGCATAAGAGACAGAAGAGAATTGATCTATCTCTATAACTCATTCTACTAATTTCTTTGAAGATGATAATACAACTATTATCTTTTTGTATTAACTAATTATATGTATAAAATATTATAAACAATGTAAGAAAATAGTTCGTAAATTAATATGGTGGACACACTCAATATATTTTAAATTTAGATATCGAGGTAGAAGGTGCATCTGCTTAAGATACATTAGTGGAATCAATTTTAGATGATCTTGCATTTAGAGAAATAAAAATTAAAAATATGTTTAGATTATATATGCAACATGTAAGTTGTGTAGAATGGTAAATATATATATAAAAGATTGCCTACATTATATTTTATTTTTCCTTCAAGGATAATCCATTTTGGCAATCTTGCATTTATGTGTGAATTCTCGGAAACTTTGTTATGAAATGAACTATGAAGAAAAAATCAAATAAATAAAGATTCCAAACATCTAAAGTTTTCAAATTGTTGCATCAAAGAAAGAGTTTAATTGTCTCTTCTAAGGAAAACCATCAGATTTGCTTTATAATTTATTTTATGGTCTTGGTGTGAAGAGTTCTCATTACCATGAAAAATTTAAAAAAATACAACTATATGTTTTCATTAACATATATAAATGGAAATATTGATACATCTGACAACAATAGTTGAGCAATAATTTACTCTCAACAGACACCTTCATCATCACATATCATGTTTAATGTCACAATATGGTGAAAGACCAAAGTTTACACAATTGTATATTTATGGTATACAGAACGAGATATGAAAACAAATAACTCATTTTAGGTATCTCGAATATTTTATTGAGTACACCCTTTTAATAAAAGTATTATTTACATGTGTTCGACAATATAATACACATGGAACATTATTAACATGCTAACAAAAACAAATTGTTCTATTTGTTTCACACAGTAGGGAGAATGATTCTTTGACTACTGATAAAAATTTGGTCAAATATTTGACAAATATGATAGATGAGCATAATGTTTTAACACAGATTTTTAGAAGAACTAAATGTTAGTTCCATATTGTGTTGGCATTATTTTTTGACAAACGAATAAATTTACCTAGAATTACTTTAGATGTTTTGTTTAGACTTAGAGTCCTAGCATGTGAAGGAAGAGAAAGAGGAAAGAGCTTGAAGACAAAATTCTAATCCTACTTGAATTTTAATCCTACTTGATTTACTATTCTTAAGGAGGAGGCCATGGTTGAGACTCCTAAGCACACTCTAACAGGTTTATTCAATTCCACATAATATCTTCACGTTTTGGTGTGCAAAACTACAAAAAACCTGAAGCAAATCCGATCAAAAGAAAAACAAGGTGCAGATTTTGAGAGTGCGAATTTTCTAGACAGCCTGCACGAATTTGATCATCGCCGGAGATCCGACCGTTGGATTGTGCTAAAATTTCCAGAGAGTGTTCCTATTTCCCAACACATAGAACTTCAACGTGTTCAAATTTCACGTCAATCAGAGTTATGAAGCTTCTGTTATCGAAGTTACAATCTACACATTTGTTGGAACACACTTTGTACGATAAACTTGTTGGAACACACTTTGTACGATAAACTAAAGTCGTGTTCATTTCTGACAGGTTTTGATAATTGCCAAACCGCCGTGGATATGAAGAGTTTCTTTGAATAACTCAAGGCGTGAAGAATGGCTTGGAACAAGACCAAAAAGACTCAAGGACAAGATCAAGAATTGAAGACTTAGTCAAGTCAGTCTTTTGTGATCAAAACCGATAATAAATTCAAGTCTCGGTTCTCAAAGAGTCAAAACAATTTTTACAAATAATAAAATATTTTTTGTGCATCAAAATAAATATTTCTGATGTTTTTTTATTGATTAAAATCCCTGGTCCTTGCTCGGAACCTAAACCACCTAAGTCGGCGTTCGGCGTTCGGCGCTCGGTTTTTGGCGCCCGAACCAACTCCGTGGTTTTCAATATTTTAAACCCTGTTTTTACCTCTGAGCATTTTTAAAATGTTCCCAAATAATTATTTTATAAAAACCACTTTTGTATCTTGGTCAATCGGTCTAACACGTGAAAAACGGTCAAAACCGTACGCACGTGATGTACGACCTTGGACACTTGGTTTTTACCGAAAAAGTCTTGTTTTCACTATTTAATGTCATATACAATGTTTTTCAAACTTGGTTTTTACTTTTGAGAACACTTCGTTTTTGGACCCCGGTTTTTCAAAACGAGTTTCAGCTGGCTAGACTTTAGCTGGGTGATAATCGATTATCACCTTAGTGACAATCGACTATCAGCCCCTGCAGCTTTGAACTTCCAAAGTTCTGAAGCACGCAATAATCGATTATCACTTATGTAATAATCCATTATCAGTGTTTGCAGCCAAAACCCAGAATCTTCTGAGATGACCAATAATCGATTATCACTTGTTGACAATCGATTATCTAGGTTACCGATTATCAAGCTTGGATAATCGATTATCAAGCTTGGATAATCGACTATCAGCCTGTGTCTCTGAAAAATTTGTCTTCATCCTGTTGGAAACTCTAGCAACGGGTTTATCCCATTTTGAGCTATAAAATGGCACCCAAATCCTCTCATTTTACACACAATTTGTTAGACACTATAGATGTATTCCTAGTTATAGTAGAATTGTATTATAGTTAGTTACCATATTAGAAGAATCCTAATCCTAATATGGTTAGGATCTCTAGCTATATATACTCACATGTATTCACCTCTATTGCTTAAGTAAAATCCATTAATTCATATTAATTCAACATGGTATCAGAGCTTCACGATCCACCTCTCTGTCTCATGGGTTAACGCAAGCAGAAGAAAAAAAAAATTCTTCACGCATAGGGTTTCTCAGCCGCAACACTTTTTTGTTCGGAAGTACCTTCCTCTCAGCCGCAGCACTATCTTCGGCGGCAGCACCTTCCTGTCTCTCAGCAGCAGCTCCTTCTTCAGCCCCAACATCTTCTTCGGCAGTCACCATGGCTCCCACAACAGCTGATCCGATGGATCACCTCCCCACTGGCCTCAAGCTATTCGTACGGAATCTCCAATCTCTTACTCCAGCGAAACTTGATGATTCAAACTATCCCTCTTGGTCAGCAACTATTCGCGCTAATCTTATGGCTCATCGTCTTCTCGGTTACGTGGATGGAACGGAACCGGCACCTCCCTCTCTTCTCCTTGACGAAAAAGCTGCTACCTCCGGCAAGGAAGATCCACCCGTCATGAAGGCAAATCCAGCCTATGAGACGTGGCTGATTGTCGATGCCCAGATCCGTGCATATTTATTGGCCATCGTCTCCCCCACTGTTCAAACGCACATCCATTCTCTTCCCACGTCTGCAGCTATATGGACTCACCTTGAGCAACGGTATAATTCTCTATCTCGCACCCATATTTTTCAGTTGAAAGAACGTCTCCATAGTCTTCAAAAAGGGAGTGATTCCATGCAAACCTATCTTGACAATGTCTTGAATATTGTTTCCTCCCTTACTCTGGCTCATGAGCATATCTCGGACCAAGACGTCATCCTTTGCATACTCCGTGGACTGCCAGCGGATTATAGTTCTCTGAAACAGAACATTCGAACCAATATTGGGAATGTCAATTTAAATCAAGTCTCGGCTTGGCTTCTATCAGAAGAACTCAACATCAATCTTGAGAGACAATTACAAATCACAGGTTCTGCCTCGTCATCTGTTTCGGAAATTCACAATGCCCTTTTCACAAATTCTGGCCGGGGTAATTTTCGCGGCCGGGGACGCGGTGGTTACCGCGGTAGGGGCAGTTCTCGAGGCAGGGGTGCGTACGGTGGTAGGGGCAGCCG